GCGCCACGGGCAGCAGAAGAGCCACCTCAGCAGCCTCCTTGCCTGTGCAGGGCCGTGGGGACGCGGCTCTCCACCCTCAGGGCACTGGGGCTGGGTGCCTAGGCCTGCCTTCTGGAGCAGCCGGTCTGTTGGGGGAGGGGAAACAAAGACCCTGGGGGTGGCACGTGGTGGCGGATGGGCGTGAAGCTGGGAGGGCTCTGCCAGTCCTGCTGCTGCACAGGCTGCCCTGGAGGCCGGCACCATGGCTCCCACTCAGGCTACGCTCACAGAAAGTGGCAGAAGCTCTTCACCCTGAAAGTACACTTTGTCGGCCAAGTCGCTGAGCACCGCCCCAGCCCCGAGCGCCAGGTGGCAGCAGTGGGGGGAGCCCCGGGGAGGCGGCCCTCCAGGGTGGGAGGGAAGCAGCGCCAGCTGATGCCTGGCTCGGGAAGAGCCGTGGTCGCTGCTTGGAGAGGCACTGAGAGCCAGCTGGTGAGCGCATGGTCAGTTCACAGCCACGGGGCCCCCGCAGGCCCAGCAAGCTGGCCACCCTCCCAGTTCCCGAAGATGACGTCCACGGTCCTCACCCTGCGGGGACCCTCCCCTTCAGCCAGGCGGGTGGGAAGGTGGAGGAGTCAGAGGAAGGGCTGAAGGCGGGAGCTGGCAGACACCAGAGGGGAGGGCGGCATTGCAGGCAGAGTGAGCACGGGGCAGAATTCAGGGACCCTTGCGATTTGGGGAACCCTGACTCCTGGTTTGGTACGAAGGCTGGCTGGGGCCCTCATGCTGCCCTGAAGAATCTTGGTTTTGTTTATAAAATTTTTAAAACTTTTCCTTATCAAGAAGTGCTTGGAGCATGTGACAGGACTTGTGTAACGTGCATAAGACACAGCGTGGAACACCTCGCCCTCCCGCCGCCCGAGGGACAGGGGCGTGGTCGGCGATGGCGCCACGGGCGTGCGTGCCCGGCAGCCACACCTTTTCAGAAACCGTCTCGGCGTGTGTGTGCCCCTCTAAGGAGGCTTTCCTTTACTTTTTATTTTTGGAAACTTGATAAACAGTGTCATTGTACTCTGTTAAATTTTCTTGATTTGCTTTTTTCCCCGCAACCTCCTCGTCATCAAGTTTACCCAAGTTGTGTGAGTGGCTGTGGTTGGTTCGTGTTTATTGCTGAGCGACATCCAGGTGGAACCCGCATCGTCACTGCGCACGGGCAGCCTGTCCACGCCGCCCAGCGCACAGCCGGGCTCCCGGGTGGCGTGTCACGGCCCGGGGAAGCCATGTAGCGGGGGGGGGGGGGGGGGGCAGTGGCAGGGACAGGGCCACCTTCGCACGTGCACAGCTGTTTGCCCTGCCCAGGTCCTCTGTCTGAGCTGTGAGCACCCCCAAAGAATGCCGAGCAGGTCTCATCCCGGCCAGAGCCGCCGGGTGTGGGTCCATCCGTGGGGTCTTTCCCACATCACACGTGCCCTCCCCTCACTTCTGGTCAGTGCCTTGCACCCCCTGGTGGCAGGCGATTAGCCAGAACAAACAGCCAGTGTGTCTGGGGACGTGGCTAATGGGCCAAAAAGCCAAGCAAGGGAGATGGACTAGGGCAGTGGTTGGCAAATTGCGGCTCGCGAGCCACATGCGGCTCTTTGGCCCCTTGAGTGTGGCTCTTCCACAAAATACCACGTGCGGGCGCGCACGTACAGTGCGATTGAAACTTCGTGGCCCATGCGCAGAAGTTGGTATTTTGTGGAAGAGCCACACTCAAGGGGCCAAAGAGCCGCATGTGGCTCGCGAGCCGCAATTTGCCGACCACTGGACTAGGGGCCTCTGGGTGGGGGGCAGCCCGGCCCAGGCTGTGGCCACAGTGGCTGCTGTGCGGTGGCAGCAAGTGAGCGAGGGCGGGCAGGCAGGCGAGGTGAGTGGAGGTGGGCAGGTGCCCGAGTCCCCGAGGAGGCCATGGGGGGGAGGTGTGGGTGCCGAGGAGGGCTCCTGAGCCCCTCCCGCAGGACCAGGCGGGACGGGGCTGGCCCACCAGCAGGTTCCAGAGCCCATCTGGCCTCTCCCACAGGCCTGTCTGGCAGAGAAGGTGTGGCACGCCCCATCCCACACCCTTCCTCGTGAGCCAGCCCTGCTCCCCAGACAGGCAGCCACCAGGGGCGCAGTAAGGAGAGGCCACCCACCTCAGCGCTCAGGTGGCAGAGGGGGAGCTGTGGGGTCAGTGAGAGGCTCTGGGACTGCTCACCCCTCGCTCCACCAGGGAAGGCAAACAGGGACCCGAGGCCCATGTGCATCTCCTGCCGCCTGTCGGTACCCAGTGCAGACGGCACCCCGGTGGCTCTCAGCGACTGCATCCGCGGGTCCTCGGGCACCAGACCTCCCGCAGAGCCGGTGGTCTGGCAGCAGGGGCACCTTCTGCGATGGGCTTCGGGCCCGCCAGCAGGGACTCGCCGCCTCACGCTCGGTGTGTGGCAGGCACGTCTTCTGCCGTCTGTGGCTGCGACTAGAGGGACCTGGAAGCAGGGGCCTCCCTCGGGCAGGGAGGCTCCCCCTGTCCTGGCTCTCCAGGCCCAGCTGCAGGCCACTGGGTGCCCTGACCTCAGAGCTGGCCTCTAGGCCTCAGGATGCGGGTAGCAGTGAGGCCTGGGTCCGCGTGTGTCGGGGCAGCGGGGCCCGCCACGCCCCCTCGTGGCGAGACCTTGGGTGAGGTGGCTGCAGAGCTGCCGGGCCCTGCCCTAGAGGTCACCTGGGGAGCCAGGCGGAGCCCATGTGGCCTTAGCTGGGGACGCATGTCTGCCAGGTGACATGCACGTCCTGGATGTGTGGGTCCAGGAAGAACCCCACACTCGTCTGTTGCCTGTGGGTGGGGTTCTGTGTGGCGGCCTCCCTGTGGGGCCTGGGTGGGCAGGGCTGGACGTGGCACCGACACAGAACCTCCCGGGAACGTGCACGCGTGTGTGCTGCGTGAACGCACGTGTGTCTGGGCGTGTCCTGTCTTGGCCTCTTGAGAAGCGGTTGTGGGGTCAGGATTCATCCCAGTCTCACACCTGGTCTCTGGGATGTTGGCCTTTGGTGGACTGACCGCCCTGGTGGCCCCATCTGAGGGCTTTCGCACCAAACCGGAGTCTGCAGGGAAGAGCCGGCCACACGCCGCCCCAGTGCTGGGGCCTCGAGAAGCAGGCCGCTGCCTCGCCTCTCGGGGCGGGTGTCCTCTCCTGGGGCTGGCGGTGTGAGGCCCCTGCCCTGAGCCCCCTTCTGTCTGGGACCCCTCACCCTTCTCAGTCTTGTCCCGGGAGGCACCATGACCTGGCTCAGCGCACACCCAGGAGCCGGCTCCTGCCCATCCACTCCCTGCCCCAGGGTGATGGCAGAGATCAGTGTGCAGTCACGGCTGTGACAGGCCCCAGGGGAAGCTGTGTCTGCAGAGCAAGGCTGCAGGGGGTCTGGCTGAGGCCTAGAGGAGGGGCCAGGCCAGCGATGAAGGAGCGAGGGGAGAGGCCAAGGGGAGTCCCAGGGGCAGGGAGGGACTCGAGGGTGCAGGTGGCCTGCGCTCTTCTCCCAAGGCAGTAAGAGCCACTGAAGCAGGTTCCGCAGGAGCTGGGGGTTCAGGTTTGGGCCACAAGCTACTCCCCCCGGAGGGGCTGGAACAGGAGTTGCCCAGGGCCCTGCCCACGCTGTGTGGAGGCCTCAGCGCGCAGCACCAGCCTGTGGCGGCCGGGGACCGGCTGGAGGCGGCCCGCTGCCCTGGCTGCACACTGCGGGACCCATCTTCCTGCTGCCCCTCCAGCGCGGGCCCTGCTGGGAGGGGAAGGGGTGCCCAGCCCCCTCAGGAAGGTGCTCAAGAACGCTGCCTTTCAGTGTCCTGGGGGTGCCCTCCTGCGGCTGGAATGCCTCCCTTGGTACCCCACCTTGTCCTTGCCACTACTGTGCCTACCCCCTGGGGCCTCTGACCCGTGATCAGACCTGGGCAATGCCAGCAGCACCCCCAAGGCTCTTCCAGACAGCAGTGTGAGGGGTGGCGGATGGGGGGTGCTCTTGTTGGGCCTCAGTGAGGAGGGCAGTGTGGGTGCCGTCTGGCGGGAGTGGTGTGTGGGGCCGAGTTGGCCCCTGCCTCCCACCCCACCGAGTACGTCAGCTCTGCCCACCCTGGGGCCTCTGACAACAGCGGGCGGAGCCCACACCCAGGCCTGTCCTGGGGACACCGGGGCCCCCAGCTCCAGGTGTCCTGCACCTGGGGCCAGCCATTCCTGTTCTGCAGGGACATGGTCACGATTGGCACCTGCCCCGGCGAGGTGGGTGCAGAGCTCCCTGGAGTCATTTCTCCCGTCGCACGGACACGCCCTGTGGACAGGGGTCCCGGCTCTGCGGGGCTGGCACAGTTCTTGGGAAACAGCACAGATTACGGATTGTAGCTCACGCTGGGGCCGCCCCCCGGACTTTCGGGAGCCTGGGCGTGGGTGTGCCCGTGAGGGGCCCCGCTGAGTGCCCTGCTGCGTGGGCCTGGGTGGCGCTGAGCCTGTGCTGTGAACAGCTCTTTAAGCCACTGGTTCTAAGCACACGGGCTCGGGGGACTCGGCGCTCCGGCCCAGCAGGTAAGACCAGGCTGTCCTGGGAGCCGTGGCCAGTGCAGGGCACCAAGGCGAGCGCCGCGTGGCCACACGCGGCCAGGACGGTGGCTGGGGCTCTCGTTTCTGGCCGTTTGGAGGTCTCGGCCTGAGGGTTCACCTCAGAGGTGAAGTCTGGGGCCCACAGTGAGACCCAGCATCAGACAGATCCAGCCCCCCGGGCCCCCCCTCCCCCGGCCCTATGTGCTCTGCACCTCACTGCCCGTCTCCCCTGTGTGCCCTGCGCCTCACTGCCCGTCTCCCCTGTGTGCCCTGCGCCTCACTGCCCGTCTCCCCTGTGTGCCCTGCGCCTCACTGCCCGTCTCCCCTGTGTGCCCTGCGCCTCACTGCCCGTCTCCCCTGTGTGCCCTGCGCCTCACTGCCCGTCTCCCCTGTGTGCCCTGCGCCTCACTGCCCGTCTCGTTGCAGGAAGTTCTACTACATCACGCTGCTGCGCGACCCCGTGTCCCGCTACCTGAGCGAGTGGCGGCACGTGCAGCGCGGGGCCACCTGGAAGACCTCCCTGCACATGTGCGACGGGCGCACGCCCACGCCCGAGGAGCTGCCGCCCTGCTACGAGGGCACGGACTGGTCGGGCTGCACGCTGCAGGAGTTCATGGACTGCCCCTACAACCTGGCCAACAACCGCCAGGTGCGCATGCTGGCCGACCTGAGCCTGGTGGGCTGCTATAACCTGTCCTTCGTCCCCGAGGGCCGGCGGGCCCAGCTGCTGCTGGACAGCGCCAAGAAGAACCTGCGGGGCATGGCCTTCTTCGGCCTGACGGAGTTCCAGCGCAAGACGCAGTACCTGTTCGAGCGGACGTTCAACCTCAAGTTCATCCGGCCCTTCATGCAGTACAACAGCACCCGGGCGGGGGGCGTGGAGGTGGACGCGGACACCGTGCGGCGCATCGAGGAGCTCAACGACCTGGACGTGCAGCTCTACGACTACGCCCGCGACCTGTTCCAGCAGCGCTACCAGTACAAGCGGCAGCTGGAGCGCAGGGAGCAGCGGCTCCGGAGCCGCGAGGAGCGCCTGCTGCACCGCGCCCAGGAGGCGCCGCGGGAGGAGGCGGAGGAGCCGGGCCGCGTGCCCACCGAGGACTACATGAGCCACATCATCGAGAAGTGGTAGCGGCAGCTGGAGGCCCCTGGGGAGGGGATGTCAGAGGGACGGCTCGCGGCTGTCGGCACTCGGGTGAGGGTCCCGGGTCCGCTCCCCGAGGGCAGGTGCGTCCGGAACTAAGACGGGATGGGCAGTGGCCCGGTGGGGCTGGTGCTCCCAGTTCCCAGGCCTGGGTCTGAGGAACCCATCTGTGCCGCCCACAGGCTCAGAGGAGGGCGAGCGGAGGCCAGGGGCCTGCACGGGCCGGGAGGCAGCAGCCCGCTGGGCCCTCACTTCACAGCAGCTGGAGGTTTGAAGATAAGGGACAGACCATGGAGCCGAGAGTGGGGAGTGGCCCTGCAGACCAGGGAGAAGTGGCCCCTGCCCGCTGCGCACGCCCCTCTCTCTGGGGCTGTCCGGCTTGAGCCATCCCACGGCCCTGGGCCTCCAGCCCCTCCTCGGGCCCGTGAGCCCTTGAGGTGTCAGGAGGGGGCGCTACCCTCACCTGTGTTCAGCACGGGCCTCCCCTCTGAAGCCAGGAGGACTCTGGTCCAGCCTGGGAGCCCCCCCCCCCCCCACCTCCTGCTTTGGGTCAGAAGGTTAGACACACCTCCTGCCCCACCCCTTTTCTGTCCTCACCGACAGGAGGCATGGAGAGTGCAGCCAGGAGTGGGAGCGGGAAGGCTGCCCCTGAGCCCGCCGAAGGGTGCCCCCATCAGCCCAGCTCAGTCAGGGGCCGTAACTGAGGGCCCCTGCCCTGTCCTCTGGCCCCTGGTACTTGTGAGGACTGCCTGCCCCGGAGCCCCAGCCCGCTGCTCTCTGCCCCCAATCCCCCCTCCGGCCCATTTATACCCGTCCAGCTCGGGCCAAGGTGGTTCTGGACAGCAGGACAGGAGTGCGGGCTCTCAGGTTCCTGGCTGGTCAGGAGAAACGGCTCCAGACTCCCTGGCACCCACCCTTGGGCCCCCAGCATTGCCCCGCCCCCCTCACCCAAGGCTGGCAGGCCCTGCAAACTGGAACGCCATGCTCTGAGGCACACCCTTCCAAATGAGGCCCCACACCTGGGCTTCGGGAGCTGAGTGAGCCGCACACTGAGGACCCGCGCCCGTTCCAGGAGAGGCAGCGGGTGGGGCACAGGCCGCTCAGAGGGTCCAGCCAGGGCAGCAGCCTCACAGGCAGGTCCCACCCAGGTCCCGGCGGCCCCGCTGCCCAGGAGGGAGGGTGCGAGCAGGAGCCTCTGGTCACAGGACGCCAGTTGGGGTCCGTGAGGCGGCTGTCCACAGGGAAGGGCTTTGTCCTGTGAGCTTCCTGTACTGGCCACTCTGTCTTGTGTCCAAGGCCGAGCAGCCAGCGGGCCGGTGGGCGTTGCCAGTCCAGCCCGGGCCCCGCACCCGGTGACTGACTTCGTGGCCCTGAAAGGGAAGCAGAGGACATGGCGGAGGCGGGGTCTGCACCGACGCGCAGCACAGCTGCAGGCGCAGGAGCTCGGGAGCGGCCGGCTCGGCTCAGCGGCCGGTTCCGGGGTGACCTGAGCCAGGACCTGGCTGCACGCGGGGGAATGTTTCAACCACGGCCTGTGCCCGTTCCCACGGAAACATGGTCCCTCCTCGGTTCCTTGACTGCGTCTGGAAAGCAGTGCTGTCTCGGCCAGCGCCCGGAAGAGGTGGAAGAGGTGCCCGGAGGAGGTGGGGCAGGCCGCTCCCCGCAGCCCCTCGCACGTCCCACACAGGCCGCCTGCTGTACGAGGGTCCCGGGCCTACCGACTGCCGCTGTGCCCGGGGCAGGGCTCCTCCAGGGCACAGGCGGCCCCGCCCAGACTCCTCCTGGGCGGCCAGGCCAGTGTGCCCGAGCCTGAACTCTGAGAACTGGAAGTGTTTAACTTGGACCAAGGAGCATTTAAAGCTTTATTTATTTATAGCTTCTTGTTTAAAAACGAAGTGTTGAGAAGAAATCTGGTTATTCATACAAAAACTGAGTTGATGGGAGACAAGTCATAATCCAATTGTTTTTGTCGAGGACAAGAGCGAATGTTACTGATGAAATAAACCCTGAGAAGGAGCCGGTGTGCGTGTCTGTGGTGGCGGGGCCTGGGGCCTCGGCTGGTTTTCAGATGCCCCTCGGGCCCGGGCCCAGGCCCCCACTGCTGGGCCGCTCCCCTCGCGGCTGCTGCCCCCCAGCCCTGCCTCCCTCTCCGTGCCCTGGTCACACCCAGCACTCGGCTGTGACGAGCAGCGGCAGCTTCCTGGGGGGCCTCCCTGCTTCCTCCCGTGTCCTCACCTCAGACCGTCCAGCAGGCGCTTGTCCTTGTGGGCTGCTCTGGGCCACATCCTCCCCTCTGCCCAGCCCGGTGGCCGGCAAACCCACTAGTCAGCAGAGCCAGATGTCAACAGTACAGCCATTGAAATTTCTTCTGGGAGCTGAATCTTTTAAACTTAAACTATATAGGTAGGTACATTGTTATTAACTGAATCAGGGTCCTCCTAAGCTGGCCTTTGCTAAAAACGTCCTCCGTCTGATTGAGGTACGTTCGCTGAGGTCGGCCCCTTCCAGCCCTCCCACCCACACTCGTCTCCTGCACTGTTTCGTCTACGTATCTCCTTTCTGGAAACCGACTGCTGGGCACGGGCCACGAAGTTTCGATCGCACTGGACGTGCACCCTCACGTGGTATTTTGTGGAAGAGCCACACTCAAGGGGCCAGAGAGCCGCATGTGGCTCGCGAGCCGCGGTTTGCCGACCACTGACCTAGGGGGTCGCCCACCCCGCTCAGCAACAGCCCCCATGCTCGCAGCCCAGGGCACTTAGGGCCTCAGGACGCGGAGGGGGGGTGGGGGGGGCTGGGTGCAGCAGGGTGGGGCCCTCTGCTCGGCGCTGTCCCGGCCCCGGCCCCCCGCCCCAGCCCCTGCCCCAGCGGCCCACTCGGTCCCGCCCGCCTCCTGCCCCCCGAGCAGAGCCCGCCTGCTCCTTTTCTCCCCTCGAAGGACCAGCCAGCGGCTGCGTCCCCAGCCTCCTGCCCACCAGCCTGGCTGCCGGCGGTCAGCGCAGGAGCCTCGGTGGCTGGGCCCCCTCCGCCCCTGGCCTGGGTGCTCGCGCCAGCCTCGGGCTTCGGGGGACCCAGCTCCCGGCTGGCCAGGGGGCTGACCTCACACGGCCCTGCCCAGAGCCTCCCCCAGACACGCCCTTTTTAAAGAAGCTGCTCACATCCTGACTGTTCCCATTTCCTCTCAAGTGGGATTGATTTCCCTTAATTTGTTCGATGTCATAGCCTCCTCGTTAGAGCCAGTGGGTCAGGGTCCCCTGGACTCTGGTGGACCGGCCCAGGGGCACGCCTGTCCCGTGGCGGCCCCCCTCGCCCCTGCCACCTTGTCCGGAAAGCCCCGGGCCTGGCCGCACCCGGCCCGTCCTCAGCGCGACGGTCCGGGCGACAGCCACCGTCGGGCAGTGGTGTCAGCTCCTGGCTTGGGTGAGACCCTGGTCCCCGGGCAGTCTGCCCCGCCAGGCGCTGAGCCCCAGCTCCCTTGGCCCTGCTGCCCCTCCCTCCAGCCCCTCCCCCTGCCAGGGGTGTCCCCCCCTCCCCCGCTGCTCCCCGGACAGGTCCCGCCACCAGCCATGGAGGCCCGGCTCCGAGTGGCCGCAGGGCCATTTCCGTGCCATGTGACTGGTCGGACACTTCCTCTCTGAGCCGTCCACGCCGGTCCAGGCCTGACCCTGCCCAAGGCCATGGCTGCCTCCCCTCCTCTGCCGGCGGCTCCCCCACACAGCGCCCCGCAGCTCTCACCGCCCCCCTAATGGGCTCTCCCGCCCTGCCCTGTGGCTCCTGGAACCGGGTTTCTCCGAAGCGAGCCTGGGGCTGTGGGACACACTGCTCTCTAACGGAGGCCTCTCCCAGGTCCTGGGAGCCGGCCTGGCCTCCGGCAGCCTCGTGGGCCCGGGCCCTGGAGCCGAGGCAGCCTGCCCAGAGCCCGGGAGGGGCCGTGCGGTGCGGGCGCCCGGCTGGAGGGTCCGGCTCCGCGGGCAGGGCTGGCGGGGACCTGGGCTTTGGGCGGGAACGCTCAGGGCTCGGCCCTGCCGGACGGGGCGGGACGGGACGGGGCGGGACGGGGCGGGACGGGGCGGGACAGGACGGGGCGGGACGGGACGGGGCGGGACGGGACGGGGCGGGACGGGGCGGGACGGGACGGGGCGGGACGGGACGGGGCGGGACAGGACGGGGCGGGACGGGGCGGGACGGGGCGGGGCGGGACGGGGCGGGGCGGGGCGGGACGGGACGGGGCGGGGCGGGACGGGACGGGGCGGGACGGGGCGGGACAGGACGGGGCGGGACAGGACGGGACGGGGCGGGGCGGGACGGGACGGGACGGGGCGGGACGGGACAGGACGGGGCGGGGCGGGACAGGACGGGGCGGGACGGGACGGGACGGGGCGGGACGGGGCGGGGCGGGACAGGACGGGGCGGGACAGGACGGGACGGGACGGGGCGGGACGGGACGGGGCGGGACGGGACGGGACGGGGCGGGGCGGGACGGGACGGGACGGGACGGGGCGGGGCGGGGCGGGGCGGGGCGGGGCGGGGCGGGGCGGTGGGCGCTCTGCAGGGCGGGGCCGCGCTCCCACTCCTTCCGGAAGCAGTTTCCTCACTTCCGGGGATTTAAAGCCCGGCGGGAGAGGCGCCTGCTGACTGTGCCCTGGTATTGTCTCCCCGCCTCCCACTCTCAGTGGGGCTCCCGGCGCCGGGAGGGACTGTGGCTCCCCACACGCCCGCGCGGAGCTGGAGGAGGGAGCCTGCAGCCGCCGGGGATCCCGAGGGAAAAGCAGTGGCCCCGCGCTCCCTGCCCGCGCGGCTGGGATGGGGAGGTGGTGGCTGCAGGCCAAGCAACCGCCTGCGCCGTGAAGGAGGAGCCTGTGTGAGGATGGGAGAGCCGCCCACAGGCCCTGCCCGCCTGGGGCGGGTCCTCCAGCCTGGAGATATATTTGTATATTTAATATAGTTTTCAGAAAAGAAGGGAGAGGGAGAGATAGAAACATCAGTGATGAGAGAGAATCACTGACCAGCCGCCTCCTGCACATCCCTACGGGGGGTTGAGCCCCGGAATCCGGTCATGTGCCCCGCCCCCCCCTTTGGGGGTCGAACGACCCTTTCACAGGGGTCACCTAAGACCATCGGAAAACATATATATAATTACATATTGTTTTTGTGATGAATCACTATGCTTTAATTATGTTCAATTTGTAACAATGCAAATACATCCTGCATATCAGATATGTACATGACGATTCATAGCAGTAGCAAAATTACAGTTATGAAGTAGCAACGAAAATAACTTTATGGTTGGGGCCATCACAACATGAGGAGCTGTATTAAGGGTCGTGGCGTTCGGAAGGTTGAGAACCGCTGCTCTAGTCCATAGGCCAATGCTCTATCCACTGAGCCAAACCAGCTACGGCATACTTTATTTCTCTTGGGTAAATGCCAAAATGTAGAACTTCTGGGCCATAGAAAAGTACATTTGCCCTCACCCAGTGGTCGGCAAACCGCGGCTCGCGAGCCACATGAGGCTCTTTGGCCCCTTGAGCGTGGCTCTTCCGCAAAATACCACGTGCGGGCACGCACGTCCAGTGCGATTGAAACTTCGTGGCCCCTGCGCAGAAGTCGGTTTCTGGCCTGGGCGAGTCTATTTTGAAGAAGTGGCGTTAGAAGAAGTTGGGGGTGTCGGTCGGTCAGGCAGCGGGAGACGCAGCGCCGGGGAGGCACGCGTGATTCATGCGCGAGTTGATGAGCCAGTCGGTCAGCAGTCTCGTGCAGTGGTTAGTGCTAGTCACGGCCACAAATTGCACGCGGGTGACAAAAGCACCTACTCGAAGCATAAAGTTACCTGTATTTTTCCAACCAGCTGCAAATCCTACAGGTATTTTTGTCATCAATTTAAGAATTGTAATTATTTTGTGTTGGTGGCTTTATTATTATAAAATGAGGACATTTTTAGCAAAGACCAGCTTAGGAGTACCCTAATTAAGTTAATAACAATGTACTTACCTATATATTTTTAAGTTTAAAAAATTTGGATCTCAAAAGTTTCAATCGTCGTACTGTTGATATTTGGCTCTGTTGACTAATGAGTTTGCCGACCACCGCCCTAACCCCCTAACCGGTTTGGCTCAGTGGATAGAGCGTCGGCCTACAGACTGAAAGGTCCCAGGTTTGGTTCTGGTCAAGGGCATGTACCTTGGTTGTGGGCACATCCCCAGTAGGAGGTGTGCAAGAGGCAGCTGGTCGATGTTTCTCTCTTACCGATGTTTCTAACTCTATCCCTCTCCCTTCCTCTCTGTAAAAAATCAATAAAATAAAAATTAAAAAAGAATTAGTTTTTAAAAAGTACATTTTAACTTTATAACAAACTTCCAGTTTTTCAAAGTGTTTGAACTAATCTACGGGCAATGGATGACAGTCACCATTGCTCCACATTCTTGCCAACCATTGTTAATGTCCGTCTTTTCAGTGCTCGCATTCCAGCAGGCCATCCAGCAGCTCATTTCAGTCATCATCATCTTGGTGAGCGGAAACCGGTTCTTGGCCGGGGCCACCGTGTCTGCCGGGTTTCTCCGGGGACTCCGGTTCCTCCCACCTCCCAGAGACGCCTGTGACGTGACCCGGCGCCTGCCCTGTCCCAGCTGAGAGAGTGTGGGTGTGGGAGGGGGTCCCGCGTGGGAGGTGCCCCATCCCTGAACAGTCACCCTCAACCCTGAACCGGGACATCATCATCTTGTTTTATTACTTTTTCTTTAATGTGTATATAGCACACGTTTAGTTTATGTTTAATATTAGTAGGCTTTTGAGACTTTATTTAGAAGCTTGGTTTTTGTGACCGGAAATATGCCCTAGGAACTTAATCTGTATCACTTAGTCTAGACGTCATTTAGTTTAAAGTCACAGTTTCCAAGAATCTACCAACAACGTTAAGTGAGGTCTTACTGTCTGTCCCGTGGTTGAGACGTAATGGTGAGTGCCTTTCGGGTGCTGCTGAGCAGTTGCATATCTTCTGGGAAAGGTGTGTTCTGCTGA